ATTATGTTTATGCTTATTAGGATAAACAATTAATCTCACTTTGCTCTGAACAACCATAATAATGCGTTACGGACGTGACCGTTACGGACGCTTCATATTAAATTCAGACTATTGTGATCTGTTTCAAGACAGAAATGATTTTGGCCACTTCATTTCAAGTTTTGTTTTGTAGAAAGACTTTATTTAAAGTGAATTTTCGTTTGTATAAATTGTAACTTATCCAAAGCACATCAACTGACCACAGGCGTTCCTCAGGGTTCAGTTCTCGGACCGCTCCTCTTCTCCATTTACACCACATCACTGGGACCCATCATACAGGCACATGGTTTCTCTTACCATTGCTATGCTGATGACACCCAGCTCTACCTCTCATTTCAACCAGATGATCCCACAGTAGCTGTACGGATCTCAAGCTGTCTGGCGGACATCTCGGCATGGATGAAGGAACATCACCTGCAGCTCAACCTGGCAAAGACTGAGCTTCTCGTCCTCCCTGCCAATCCGTCTCTTCAGCACGACCTCACTATCCAGGTAGATTCATCCTCAATCACCCCATCAAGGTCGGTCAGAAATCTTGGAGTAATCTTTGATGATCAGCTGACCTTCACAGACCACATTACAAAGACAGCTCGATCATGCAGGTTTGCTATGCACAACATCAGGAAGATCAGGCCTTTCCTAACTGAGCATGCAACACAACTTCTCGTCCAGGCCCTGGTCATTTCTAGGCTTGATTACTGCAATGCTCTTCTGGCTGGACTTCCATCATGTGCAACTAAACCTCTACAAATGATCCAGAATGCTGCAGCTCGTCTGGTCTTCAACGAGCCCAAAAGGGCCCACGTCACTCCTCTGCTCATCTCTCTGCACTGGCTACCACTCGCTGCTCGCATCAAGTTCAAGGCTTTGACGCTTGCTTACAGATTGACCACAGGTTCAGCTCCCTCCTACTTCCACTCACTACTACAAGTCTACATCCCTACCAGAAGCCTACGATCGGTCAATGAGCGACGGCTCGTGGTACCATCACAGCGGGGCACAAAATCACTCTCCAGAACATTCTCATTCACGGTTCCATGCTGGTGGAATGATCTCCCCACCCTCATCCGGAATGCAGAATCCCTGACAACATTCAAAAGACAACTGAAAACTCATCTCTTCCGGGAGCACTTAACTTAAAAAAAAAAAAAAAAAAAAAAAATCATTTCCTCTAAATCCTCGCTTGCCTGCCTTATGCTACTCCGAGCTATGGCTGAACTTTGTATTTTGAGCACTTCTTGCGTTGCTTTTGCCTCTTCACGATGACTCGCTTGGTTTAGTCCTCAGTTGTAAGTCGCTTTGGATAAAAGCGTCTGCTAAATGACTAAATGTAAATGTAAATGTAACTTAATTTTAAATCAAAGTTTCATCAACCAATTGCCTGTATTTAATAAATAAGCAAAATATAGCATGGAGGTGCGATCACTTGCAACACGTAAACTTGAGCGCGTCTCATAACTGAACAGAATCATTTCAGACAGTCTTCTTAATGTGAAAATACAGCCATTATGCGTCAACAAAAGTGCCATGATGGTTTGATTGTTGATTTTCCAAACAGATTCTATGTATTTCAGACGCGTCACATCCATAACAGGGTTTTTGTCACATCCATAACGTTGGTTTTTCCTCATAATACACTTCATAAAAATATATATATTTTAAACATTGATATTTTTATGTTCAGCTAAGACCCCTTCATCATGTGGATAGCAATATTTATACATTGGATTTAAAAGTTCACAGACTTTAAAGGAAATCGAACAGTATACCAAAAACTCTGTCATTTCCCGTCACATCCATAACGCATGCATATTTTCCTTTTTTGGGGGTGCTTAAATATATTTTAGAAAAACATATTTTGCCTGTCAATTCCCCAGATTGGGTGCTCTGAGAATATGCATTTCCAATTTAAATATTGTAAGAAGTTTTTTTTTTCTGAGACATTTCACCTGTCATTATGAGTTCAAATGTCACATCCATTACGCTGGAATTACCCAGAAGTTTACCCAACTATGATGACTTCCACTTCTGAGGACCCTGGAAATGTAAAAAGTGTCCATATAGTCTTCACAGTTATTACAATAGAAGGCAGATTTTTAAATATTTATGAATTACACATGATGAGCTATTTTCTCTTAAGGCTATATATTAATACTCTCTGATAAAGTGCAGTTTAAAACTTTTTTTTGTGATGTGTAGCCTATTGATGGCAAAACTAAACGAATATTGTTGTATTAGAAGTATTATGAACTAACTAAAACTAACTAATATATGATTTCTTTCTAAATTGTATTTATACATTATACATACAAACATCTGCATCAAACAATATAAATAAAAATGTACTGTATGTCCAAATGTACAAAAATACCAAGGAAGTCCAAAAAAAGTTTTTTAAACTCCATACATTTTGTTACGGAAATTAAACGTTTCAAAAAGTTCACCTCATTAATTTCTTGAAATTAGTGAATTGTGGTTTTACACGTGAAAGTATCCATAATAGTTGGATTTGTCTCAAATTACTTCTGTAAAATACATTTAGTCTGTCCTACAGTCATGCAAATGTCCTTCCCACTGGGCCTGTATTTTGTTTCTAAACTTGCTTGCACACGCACACACACTCACACACACACACACACACAATAATTCTGAAATCAAAATAAAATGATAAATAAAAGTAATATCTGTTTGTATATTAAACGTTCATAGACCAAAAAGGCCTAGTCTAAATTTAAAAAAGGAAAGAGTGAACACATTTCACTCTGCTGCCACCTAAGGATGAACTATTGCAGCATGAAAAGAAGATTCAGGCTGTTTATCATCTTTTTTTCCGTTTATGCAAGTAAAATAAATATATTGTTTGAAAACTGATTTTCATGCTGTTTGAGTACTGATTGTTAGCAAAAGTTGTTAGGAATTTTTTTTTTTTGATGGCCAATGAAAAAGTTCCCAGTAGTAAGTATGTGAGGTTATAAAGGCAAACCATTCATATTTTTTAATTTTGTGTTTGAAAAATAACAGATTTGAGGGTTAGATCCACTTCCCATGAACCAGTACCAGATAGGACAAAGGTTTACATAGTCGTCCTTCAGGAATATCAGTTAAAGCAATCGGATAAGGTAACCAGATTGATGATAAGATTAAACATGCAATTTCATAAACTGATACTGAACATGGAAAAATTAAGCTTGCAAACGCATTTGGAATCAATTACCCCTTGTAATACATTAAAAAAAACAAGAAAAAAAAAAACCTAGGCTATGAATCTGTTGCATTTCTTGGTCTGTTTAGACCCTGTAGAAAATAAGCTTATACAACATAACTTAATATTTTTCAACTATAACCATATTGTATCTGATCAGTAACTTCTCATTAATGAGTGAATGCACAATTTTATTTAAAAAAAAACTTTTGAATGTTACCATGTTTTTACCATGACATTACCTCATTTAACCCTTTTTTATTAATTAAAAAATTGAGAATTTTTTTGAAATGATACAAGAACTAGCAGAAACCAGTGTGATGCCTGAAAACTGATAGATTACAAAATAAATGAATACTGCATACTTGTACATACATACTTTCTCTGTTCCTCAAACGCCTCCAGATTTGCTTGATCGTTTCTGCCTATTTCTGCTTTCTCTCTTTGTTGTGGTCATTTGTTGATTTTTTAAATCTAATTGGTTTATTTTGCATCGTCCCCTTATACCTTTTACATTTATATTTATTCCTTTTGCAAACACTTTCATTTGAAGGCATTTAAAATGAGGAATGCTACAACAAAAGCGATTAAGCTTCTTACCAAATCACTAATAACTATTGTTAAAATAATTATATAGCTTACTTTTAGATTATATTAAAGCTTCTGCTTAGAAGAAATGCCATAAATGGTCAACTTCAAAAGACATGGCATATCATTAATTCAATTCAAATTATTGTCCAATAAAAAGTTTTTTTTTTTTAATTAATGCATTTTTGTTCAGCAAGGATGCTTTAAATTGATCAAATGTGACAGTAAATACATTTATAATGTTACAGAATAAATGCTGTTCTTTTGAACTTTATATTAATCAAAGAAAGAATCCTGAAAAAAAACAAATGTTTCCACAAAAGAGCATCAAATCAGTAATGATGCTGAAAATTCAGCTTTGTCACCACAGGAATAAATTACATTTTATAATATATTAATATATAATTTTTTTGGTGAGCATAAGAGACTTCTTTCAAAAAAATTATATTTTACAGACCCCAAACTTTTGAATGGTAGTGTACAATATGATATGGTCAATTGTGATTTCATGGCCAAACAAAACCTTCAAGCTTCTTTAGTCTTGTCATAAATATTACATTACATGTTCTTCAGCACTGATGATGACTTTCATTAGACTATATACCAATAAATGGTTATGTGATTTCACTGCAAGAAAAAAAGCACTTTCATTTTTTTGTGTGATCATTTGAGTTTTTCATTTTATTTTTTTAATACAAAAAAAGAGCAAGCACTGGAGGGACAGAATTGTATGTCACACATTGTGTACAAATACGATTCACCCCACTGAAAAAGGGAAATAAAATTAGTTGTTTTGCAGTTGCTCAGACCATAGTTTTATGCACATATTATTAATGAGAGTCATCGGGTGGTTATCAGATTTTGGTGGGTGTGTTGTGTTTTGTTCTTTCGAAATTCCATAGCGTCTGTGTAACACACCTTTGGTTTAGTCTGCCCATCTAGTTAATGATCAGTGAGCTGGATTGGCTTTTGTCCATTCTAGTTGGTGGAGGACACATCAGGCCAGATAAGACTCTGGTCATCATCAGTATCAATACGTTCATCCAATGAGAGTCATCCAATGAGAGTGAGAAAGCCTTTCATTTCCTCTTGTCTTACTCTACACTACAGTATCAGCGCAGGCAGAGGTAGAGCTACCCGAAGCTCCTGCCTTCATCTCTCCACTGGAACTAACACTCCTCATACACAGAAGAGCAAATACTTAGGAAGAGAAATGTATTCTCAAAGAAAGGGCTGGGAATGGTCCGTTACATTGTTGTCACTTGCTGTTGGCGTGGTAAGTCTTCACTTGTCATATTTTGTATATCCGAATCGTCTGAATGGCAGAATCATTATACAAAATATCTGAAACGGGCTGCTTTAAATATTGAAATAGCTAAGTTAAGAGTTGTGTCTTCCACAAGTCTCCTTTATATGCAGGATAGGGATCAATAGTATGAGTTGAGGTCATTGTTTCATTTTCCGAAATAGAAAATTGATCCACAAATAAATGTGAAGCATTTCATAATAATGAGATATTGAAATATGTATGGAATTTTGACCATACAAAATTGCCTGTCAGCATGTGGAGAATGAATATTGTCTATAAATGTAAAATGATAATTTCAGGTTTAAACATTCAAAAATGTTTTTGCCGATGGATTCTGGTTGTCATTAAATTCAGAACAGTTGACGTTATGCTTTTTCCAACGAGACCCATCCAGACTCCGCCTCCTCTAGCTTTATTAAAAGTTTTCTGGCTATAATTGTGGTACAAAATATGATTGGTTGATTGGTCAGAGGCATTGGCAAAAGATTCAAATCTGTTTGTATGAAACACAATACATTTATCAATGTATGCTTGCTAATCTCATTTTATTTATTTGTGTATTTGTTTGTGATTTTTGTGAATCACTTTAGATTTATTTGTGGATCCATTTTTGTGAATATGAAACAAACATCACCTCATTTGATCACATCCACACTTTTTCTCGCTGTGGAATGTGTGTGAGCCAGTGTAGATACTTTTGAAAATGATTTGCTCCTATTATAAAGAAAACATTTAATTTCCTTTCATTGTCATTTTTTGAAAAAAGAAAAAAAAAGAATAACAAATTAAACACATTACCATTCAAAAGTTTGGGGTTAGTAATTAATACTTTTATTCAGCAAGGATGTATTAAATTAAACTGTTGCTATATATATATATATATATATATATATATATATATATAAAATACAATGAATCCTGAAAAAAATATTTCGACAAAAATATTAAGCAACACTGCTTCCAACATTGATGATAATAAGAAATGTTTTTTGAGCAGCAAATCAGTATATTAGGATGATCTCTGAAGGATCGTGTGTCTGAAGACTGGAGTAATGATGCTAAAAGTTCAGCTTTACCATCACAGGAATAATTTTTTTAATATATTAAAACAGTTGTAACTACATTTTGACATTAGCATAAGAGATTTCTTTCAAAAACATTGAACATTTTTTGATGTAAATGCAGGCAAAAAACTGAACTCAGCAGGAAAAATCCTTATTGTTGAGTTCTGAGTGCTAAAGATTCGATACAGATCTACTGTATAAGACACTTGACTAAACTACAGATTGTTACATCCCTATCTATGTTATATCTCTGTCTTTTGCAGGTTCTCACTGGTGCTCAGCATGAACCAGGCTACTGCTCGTTTTATGAGGACTGTGGCCTAAACCCTGCTGTAGAGGGGGCTCTTATTCCCCCTAGGGTACCCTGTAAGGACTACAGAAAAGCCATTAATGTGACGGGAGACCACTATGAACTTTTCAAATCTGTGTGCCCAATGTTTGCCAACGGTGATGGTGAAACACTGGGTTGCTGCTCCATCAGGCAGCTCACAGCTCTACAGGGCAGCCTGACGCTGTCCAAAGCCGTGCTGATCCGATGCCCATCCTGCGCAGACAACTTTGCACATCTCCACTGTGCCACCACCTGCAGCCCCAACCAAAGTCAGATGTTAACAATCACCAAAACCGCGAACATCACGCAGCCGTCTGGCATTGTCAAGGAGGCTGTGGTAGGTTACGAGGCTTACATATCCACCAACTTCTCAGATGCTTCGTTTAGATCCTGCAGAAACGTACGAATCCCATCCACCGGAGGGTTCGCTATTGCCACGATGTGTGGCCGCTATGGTGCGACTCTGTGTACACCGCAACGCTGGTATGATTTCCAGGGTGACTCAAGCAATGGACTGGCTCCTCTGGATATTAATTTCAGGCTCTTGCCAGAAGGACAGACCGCTGAACTCCCACAAGGAGCGTTTCCGTTTGCAGGAAGAGCTTTGAATTGCAACGAGACGACACCTACAGGGGGTGAGGCCTGTTCCTGTCAGGACTGTGAGCAATCCTGTCCAGCTGTACCACCGCCACCACCTTTACCAAAACCATTCATGATTGGTAGACTTAACGGCGTCCTTGTCATCTGTATCATAGTCTTTGCCTGCATCTTTTTCCTTTTTATGTGTTACTTAGTTTTAGAGTGCACTACCTACTATCAAAAGTCGAGGAGTGCTCGGAAGGGCAGGAGCACCAAGGATCAAAACGAAAATGAGATTAACCATAAAATCAGTCCTAAAGATGTTAAGTTCTCTGACAAAGCCAGTCTTGCCACTCAGGACTTCCTAGGATCTCTTTTTCAGACCTGGGGAACCATAATGGCACGGTATCCTCTATGTGTGCTTCTGGTCTGCCTTGTGGTTGTGATCGCATTCACAGTGGGAATAAAAGACATAGAACTGACCACAGATCCTGTCCAGCTCTGGTCAGCACCCGAAAGTCGTGCCATGCGTGAGAAGGACTTCCATGATGCACATTTTGATCCATTTTACCGCACCAATCAGCTGATCTTGACCGCTCCAGACCGGCCCAGCCACTACTATGACTCCTTACTCTTTGGCAAACAGAACTTCAGTGGCATCATCTCTAAAGGTAAAACTTCCTATTGTTTCAATTGTTGGTCAAAATAATTAGTTTGTGATAAAATTGTCATTACCAATATGGTTGTCAAAAATGTACTCATTGTGAAACATGTCAAAAGTATTACGCATACTATTTAGATCTAGAGAAGTAGCGACCGATCTTTTCCGTATTGTAATCTACAATGGATTATCGAAAAAAGGTGTAGGATGGGTTCTACCTTGGTTCTATCATCAGCTGTTGATTGAATGGAGATAGATCTGAATGTGAGCTTGCAGTCCATTTTACCACATGACTGCAAAAGTCCAGCACACTGTACTTCACCAGTGAGAATTTCACTTGAAAAGGGTTTTGCTTATAGCTTTCTGTATATAATCCATTCACAATTGGAATAACCCCTGTGAAGTTGGGATGTATAGGCTTAGCCTCATGCAGTCCTAATCAGTGTTTTATGTAGCAATGCTTTCTTTTTTGAGAATTTTCTGTTCCCCTGAATCTTAGGTTTCAGTCATTAAAATATAGACCTACTGAGAATGTTTTTTTTTCTCACAGATTTGATCATAGAGCTGCTGGAGCTTCAGAAGAGAATCCAGGCAATTGAATTCTGGTCAGACGATCTAAACCGAACTGCAAGCCTTAAAGATGTTTGCTATGCGCCACTCAATCCAGACAACCCCTCTTTAACAGACTGTGCTGTCAACAGTCTACCGCAGTACTTCCAAAATAGCATGGACAACCTAAACGCCAAAGCAAACATGACAGAGCTCGGCGTGACTAAGGAGGTGGATTGGAGGGACCATTTCATCTACTGTGTAAAGTAAGTCACATATCCATATCTGTAGTTGTTACATTACCTTAGGGACATTTCCAGGTTTTTGAAGTTCCACTGAACAAGTTTCAAGCACTGGGACTTTTCACGTTTTTGCATGCTGGGTCTTTCTGCAGTTTACATCATAAACTGCATCAACTGACTGTTTATGAGTCAGTCATTTAAAGGTGCTAAATGTAACTTTTCTTCTAAAATGAATCCTTTTTTATTGCCTGTGTGTGAAGGGGTTTTAATCACACATTACAATGATCCACTTGTCGGGTTTTGCTATTACCTCTGAAGGCCAGTATTCCTATTTCTATGTGAAGTGTCCGGGTCGGATTTTCTGCGAAAGCCATCGGATGTGACGTGCATGCATGCTCCCGAGCCTCTCTCCTTTTTATATACACAGTCTATGCGACGGCACTGCAGCTGACGACATGGAGTCTGATAACACCAAAAAACGACCTGCCTCCAGCACAACACAGACTCCAACACAAACTCCTCATAAATATAAAAAACAAAACAAAAATCTATCTGCTGAAGCTCGTCAGGCCAAACGTGAATCGGATCAACATCGGCAGAGCATTTGAATTATGGAGAGACCTCCGCTATTTTTATTGTGATAAATTACAAGTTTTCAGATATGCTGAAATAATGGTAAACCGTAATGAAATGGCAAGGTAAACTACAACATACATGAGACATGAAAATGAATACAAAAGACTGTTCCAGGATAACAAAAAGTAGGTGCTTTAGGATGTAACTTTTATTTTATGTACTAGATCTACTGTCTAACGTCACTCATCCCACTACTATCATATTGTTTATCATTTCCAGACATGGTTAGTACAGTAATGCTACTTCCTACGATCTTACTGTTACACTGAAGTTCTAGTCTAGTTCACTAACCGTTTTCGTTATCATATTATATATTCACCTATGTTGACATTGCTGATTGTGAAAGATACACGAATAGTTAGTGAAATGCCTTATAGATAACACCACATGTCGGCTAAATCCAGTCAATGTAACGTTATCATGGTACGAGCATGGAGCATTAGTTCAACGTCAAGCTGATAAAAGTAGCCTATTATTGTAACGTTGCAGGGGGAGTTTACATGAGTTTCCAGCATGTTGTGTGATGCTTTCTCCGGTGTGTTGAAAGTCTCAGTGTGGCCGGTACCATGAGTGCTCGCTCTTGTGTTCGAGCACGCGCAAGAGCACGAGCGCTCTTGTAAAAATTGGTTGCAATCTGAAACATCACCGATAGAGGCCGCTAAAAAATACATATAGCACCTTTAATCATTTGCTCACCGATTGATTCAAATACATTCATTCAGGAACGAAATAAGACCTGGTTCAATTCAGAATTCTGTAGCATACTCTTCTCTTAAGCTAATACGTTCTACTACTACAATATACAATATTTTATATTAATATAACTAATATATGCTAGTGTGCTACTCCGAATTCAGTCACAGTCTTTATGACATACTCGCATACTCTGAATAGGGACTTCTTTTAAATAAGTACTTACTCTGAAACTTTTAAAAATAAATGTTTTTGTATGAATGTGTATGAATGTAATCCGAATGGATGAAATACTACTCTCCTCTTATTGTCATTGTCATCTGACCTACCAGCATTAGTTGTGTCACTACATGACCATTCACAAATCCCCTTCTATGGACTCATGGCATAGTAAAGTATCCATAAGATGTGCACTTCAGGAGCAGTAGGTCATCCGGGTACTTTGTGCATACTGTTTTATGAATACTGTGAATTTGAACACTACTCTTTTCATCTACTATTTTTACCAACTATATAGTATAGGGAAGCATGCATATTTGTTGAAGCCAGAGACTGGCTACTATATAGCATACTACTACTATAATATAAAAGAAATAGTAAGAGTAGTATGCTATTTCAAACAAAGTCTTTATGAGAGAGTCATTGAATCATTCACTCAACCAATTTCATCAATCAAAATAACTGAATCATTCAGGAATGAAAAAGCACTTATTGAGCTTCTTTTAGAATATTTTTTTGTTGGTGCCGCAAAAATAGACAAAGTAACTCAATTATTCTTGTCTATTGAACTGTTTTAAAAAAACAATATCACACATAACATAATTAGATTCTGCTTGCCCACAGCTCTCCATTATCATTTAAAGACATCACAGCTCTTGGCATGAGTTGCATGGCAGACTATGGAGGTCCTGTCTTCCCCTTCCTGGCTGTAGGCGGATATGAGAGTAAGGCACAAAACTGCCTGCTAGCATCTCATCTTTGTCTTAAAGATTTACTGAGCTGACTTTCAGCTTTCCATTCCATTTTCAGATGAGGCATACACCATTGCTGAGGCCCTGATCCTCACCTTCTCCCTGAACAATTACGGACGATACGACGTTAAATTTAAGGTGGTTCAACAGTGGGAAAGCATGTTCCTCAAAATTGTCCAGGAATATCAGAAAAACCCAAACACAAACTTCACATTTGCCTACATGGCTGAGGTGAGATTCTGGTTGACCATATGCTGTATAGATCAAAGATGTCAGTGTTTAACAGTGTCATAATCGAATGATCTGGTGCTCCGCAGAGGTCTTTGGAAGATGAGATTAACAGAACGACTGCAGAGGATATCCCCATATTCATGATAAGCTATGCTGTCATTTTCCTCTACATTGCTGTGGCTCTTGGGGAATATTCATCCTGGAAGCGTATCCTGGTGAGTGAGTAATGGAGTGGTTAATGGCTTACTGGGAATGTCCTAATTTCTGATAATGGAATAAAGGATGAAGCATTTATTTTTCTCAAAATGAAGGCCTAATGGAAACTCCAGCATGTTTTAACTGTTCTGAGCAATTCAAATGATACATTCTGGATATCAAAAACGAAGTCACATACCCATTTTTTTAAACGTTTTCCATTTTTTAATGGCTTTTTCTCAAAATATTTCAGATTTGTTTCTCAGTTGATATAGTAGGTCAGAAAAAAATAATGAATAATACTGGTAAGCTTAGTTTTAGATTGAGTATACACATCTCCACTTTCCAAAAGTATTTCAGATGAACTATCCATTGGCCTAGTTTGACAGGTAAATATATTCTAATGCTGCTTCTGCAAACCATGGTTGTGTGATTGTCGTCTTAGGTAGATTCAAAGTTCTTGGTCGGACTGGGTGGTATTCTGGTCGTCGGCTGCTCTGTCTTAGCCTCAATGGGGTTCTATGCCTGGATTGGGCTTCCGTCCTCACTGGTCATTCTGCAGGTGGTGCCCTTCCTCGTGCTTGCTGTGGGAGCTGATAACATCTTCATTTTTGTTCTAGAATATCAGGTATGTTTCTTTCTTCATTCTGTTTTTCTTTGTAGCTTATCTTTCTGACAGCTTTAAATGGTCACTTTTTTTCACTTACAGACTCTTTCACAGTTCTTAGTTCTATACAGTATCGTTCAAATGTTGTTGTTTTTTCTGTTTTTTTTAAAGAAATGTATACTTTTATTCTGCATGGATACATTAAATTAAAATAAATGTGCAAATGTGCAAAAAAAGCAGTACAACAGTTTTAAACTGTGATAATATTATAACATATTTATTGTGCATCAAATCATCATATTATAATGATTTCTGAAGGATCATGTGACACTGAAGTGTGGAGTAATGATGCTGAAAATTCAGCTCTGCCATCACAGTAATAAATTACATTGTAAAATATATTCAAATATAAAACAGTAATTTTACTGTATTTTTGATCAAATAAATGCAGCCTTGTTGAGCATGAAAAAAAAAAATCTTAAAAAATCTTACCAACCCCAAACTGTTAAATGGTTGTGTATATCCATCCATCCAAATACACATACATATACATAAATATACAGTACATATACATGCATATATATATATATATACATGCATACATATAAGTAGAAGATATTACTTTATGTCTCCACTACTGACTATAACTTCATAAACCACACTTTTTTTCTTTCTTATCCATGTTGAATCTCAATCAGAGAGATATGCGCAGACCAGGAGAGCAGAGGGAGGAACACATCGGGAGAGTTCTTGGAAATGTGGCTCCCAGCATGCTCCTTTGCAGTTTGTCTGAATCTGTTTGTTTCTTCCTGGGTGAGAATTTCCCATTGATCTTAAACTCTGCTTCATCCCATAAAACACAAGAACAAGAGAACCCCCCCATGATTATGAGGAACATTTATATTACCTGACCTTTATTCACTTGTGCATGTCAGCGAAACATATAGCATCAGATATGTACCACCCTAATTAAATAGAGATATGATTGATGTATAGTGGCAATAATGAACTTTGAATGAGTCATATATAATGCAGTCAATGGGTTCAGATGAATTCCATGAATGAGTAAACATATATGGCTGACTTAACACACCCTCATTGTCTCTTTGCAGGTGCTTTGAGCACTATGCCGGCGGTGAAGTCGTTTGCCCTATACGCGGCATTGGCTGTGCTCATGGACTTCATTCTCCAGATGACTGCCTTTGTGGCTCTGCTCTCACTTGATGCTCGACGACAAGATGCAAACCGTTGTGAGATAGCTTGCTGTGTTACTGTGACAACTCCACACCCATCCAAACCCAACCAGGGCTTCCTGCTCCCATTAATGAAAAAATACTACGCCCCTGCACTGCTCAACCCTGTCAGCAGGATAATAGTGGTACGTTCCTACTTTACAGTATTATGGTTTCTTTAACTACAGTCATTTTATGATTTTTATTAGAATTGCTACTTTTCAAATGTATTTTATTTATAGATTGAATGGATTTATCTTTATCCCAGTTCTAGACTTTCAGCCATAAAACATGAAAATTCATTAAAAAAAAATATATAAAATAGTACATTTTTAAAGCTATAGTAATACAAACAACTTGTAAAAAATTATTGTGTTAACCTTTATGGTAACACTTAAAGCCTTTATGTATAATGCATTATAAAGGTATTCATAATGTACATTATAATGCATTAAATCTTTTCATAAAAAAAATCATTATTTTTATAATATTTGCAGATTCCTTGTTACATCTGAAAGTGGTTGTCATGTGTTTTAATGCTTTCTAAAGGTTTAACAATGAATAGATATGTATTATAAATGTAACTGTGGTTACAATTATTTATATTGACAATACAAGGCATAATTAATGCATTAAAATACTTTTATAATGAATCATATATAAAGGCTTTAAGTAAAGTTTTACCAATTCCTCAGCTGTCCTTGACGTGATTTCCAACACAACCAACAATTTTGCCACTAATAAAGTTATTAAAACCTGTAATTTTCTCAATGTTCATTTCATTTGACTATTTTTAGGCTACATAAAAATATGAAATCAACCTTAAAAGAATAAAGGAATCAGACATTTTATTCCAGTATAAATGTAAATTTACAAAGTAAAAGTTTGTGTACATGACTAAAACAAGTATCCATTGTTTAAAACACCCACCCATACTAGAATTTCATGCATTTCTTTCTAAAAAAAAAGAAGGTATGGTGTTTTTTGTTTGTTCTTTACATGCTTTTATATAATACAATTAGTAATAGTTTAATATCATGATGTCTTGTTCTCTTAGATGGTGGTGTTCCTTGTGATGTTCTGTGCCTCTGTGTTCCTCTTGTTCAATGTAAAAGTGGGCTTAGATCAGGAACTGGCCATGCCATCTGTAAGTACAGAAGTTTATTTAACACCCTTCTAGCCTGCCAATAAAAATACAAGAGCAATTTTGCCAAAATGCCAATTAAAAACACTTTCAGTTATTCAATAATTAGTTACAGTGTTGTCTCTCTCTTCCCCCGTGTGTAAACATTACCAGGATTCCTACATGTTGGACTACTTCGCATACCTCTATAAGTATTTTGAGGTTGGCGTGCCAACGTATTTTATCACGACCAAAGGGTTCAATTTCACCAGTGCAGAGGGCTTAAATGCAGTGTGTTCTAGTGTGGGATGTGACCAGTTCTCCTTTACCCAGAAGATCCGTTATGCCACTGAGTACCCTGACCGGTGAGCACTATATATCTCCCCTGTATATCTCCACTATATGTCTTTCCGCTTTCAATAAACTAAAAATGTAATTTGGTGTCCTGCACTCCTCTACTCTTTACCTCACTTTGCATCACATCAGACCTTGAACTTACAGCTTTGTGTTATCGATCTTGAAAGTCCACAGTGACACGGTCCTGGCAAGATACCATTATTAACGTTTGAGAATTATACAATGAAATGACTATGACAAAAAAAGCTTTATCACTTCTACCTCTAGGTATTCTTTGAATACTGCGTCTGCCATCATTCTAATTATAATGTTAGAATAGAGACAAAGATCTTTATAATACTGGTAAAGAGCCAGATAAATTATGAGTTATGGCTTTACTACCATACAAAAGTTTGGGGTTGGAAAGATGTTTCAATATTTTTGAAAGAAGTCTCTTTTGCTTACCAAGGATGCAGTCACAACTTTTCTATCTGTTGTTTTTTCTATTTGAATATATTCAATTTGAATATATATTAAGTATTCATGTGATGGCAATGCTAAATTTTCAGAATCATTACTCTAGTCTTCAGTATCACATGACCCTTCAGAAAAATCATTCTAATATGCTGATTTGTTGCTCAAGAAACATGTTGAAAACAGTTGTGCTGCTTCATTACACATACATTTTTACAAAATGCGAGTTCAAGATCACAAAATCACAATCTCTCTGATTGCTCTAGATCTTATTTGGCTATCCCAGCATCCTCCTGGGTGGATGACTATATTGATTGGCTGAACCCTGGTTCCAAATGCTGTCGTATCTATACAACTGGCCCAAACATTGGAACATTTTGTCCGGCCAATGAGAGTAAGTGTTTATGTATAAATAACCAGTTAACTATTAAAGCCTTGTTGTTTATATGGTTCAATTAACTAAATTTTAAACTTTTTGACAGCGGGTATTTTTGCGTGTACCAAGAAGTGTATGAAAGCCCCCGAAGATGGGGTTCTGCGGCCTAGTGTTGAAGAGTTTTACAGATTCCTGCCAGACTTTCTGAGCAACAGACCTGACCTACAGTGTCCAAAAGGGTAAGAAATGCTACTACATCTGGTCATCTAAAGGACTGAATAGAAGCTTTGAATGTTTAGAATAAAACACGTCCATGATTATAGTGTATTTACTAAAAATGTTTTTATTTCATTTACAGTGGTTTGGGAGCTTATGATAAAGCTGTAATTAGAGACAATGAAACTGGGGAAGTAATAGGTGAGATACATCAATTTGTACATGTAACATTTTGCACTCACTTTCTATAGTGGTTCTTAACAGGGCCAGGGTCAGACTCGGGGGCTTCAGCAAACTTCCAATGGGGCTTCCAAGATGCCTTTAAATGATTTAAAAGAAGACAAAACAAGCTTTAAAATAAGCCAAAACAGCTAAAACAACAACAAAAACAGGTTCTTTCTTATTTTAATTCACCGCCTCAACAACGTTTTTTGAAAACATGGACATATGAAGTAGCATCATTTTAATTAATAGTGTAATTTCTAGACTTGGAAATGGCTATGGTAATTAATAAAATGTTCAAACGAAATGGACATTTTTAAAATGAATATACATGTCCCTATGCCGAGCTCTAAGATATTTTATTGGGTAGAAATTGTGAATAAAAATATTATGTGCCCTTAATTTTTATCCGGTAAATCTGGAAAAGTCATGGGGGCTTCAAAATATTGTTGTGGACAATGTTGGTGTCAAAAATATTGAGAATGACTGTTCTACGGAGCTGTTAAGTCCATAGGCGGAGTTTGACATTCGAGCCAGGGGGGGGCAAAAAAAAATAAAAAATCATTGTAGCATTCATTCATTCATGTAGTAATCATTAGGCGCGTTTCCATTACAGATTTGCGCAAAACTTTTGCGACTTTTTCTAAATGTCGATAAAAAACTATTGCGAAATGACGGCGTTTCCATTAACCGATGTTATGCGACTAAAATGTATTTTTTTCCTCTCGTGATAAGTCATTCCAAAAATCATGGTAAACGGATGTTGGTAGGTTTAAAGCCTATATCACAGCCACCGCACTAGAAATTATTATTATTAATGGAAGGAGACGTGGTGTTATCCAAGCATTAATGGCAGACCCTTATATTGCGAACGGCACATAGCCTATAGCCTAAGAGTTCCTGGCTGTTTCTCCCTCATTTCTGCTCCGAGGTCTTGATTGTGGCATTTCTTTGAGGTTTAGAATCCAGTATTCCTGTAATTATTGTTTATTTTATGAATTTAATAAAGAACTCTGTCTCGTATTATGTCCAAACGGTCAGTGTACTTTTGTGTCCATTCGTTTTTCCTTATTTAACCCGTAATTGCAAAACGAAAAATAAACGGTTGTATTTTTAAAACGCAAAGTCGAACACCAAAATTTTAATTTGAACTGCTACACACCAAATGCTGCGCAAAATAAATAATATGGACGAATTTTCAGATTTTTGTTTATGACTTTTTGCCCCTTTATTAAACATTTAAAATATTGACAAATTAATATGAAAAAAATGTAGATTTAACTGGTTTTCTAAGGCCAAATTAGAACCTGGAAATTATATTTTTCCCGTAGTGCTGAATGAGAAGATAACCACAGGCTACAGAAAGGGGATTTAGTTGAGTTATAGGCTATAATAATTAATAAATGTGTCTGAAAAAATAACAAGGCATTTTAATTGTTTATTAATAAAAAATTAGTGTCGGCTAAAACATATCTCCATCTCCGCTGTAAGGCGGATGCACCTTTAGAGAGAAATGCACCTCTCATACGGATTACATAATCAGAAGGTATTAGCTTTCGATTCGAATTTGTTCGTTTTAAAGTGGACATTTCAAGCTTTAGCTTAGGCTATTTTGTTTCAGTTATAGCGCTTCAGTTCACGGAGACCATGAAGCGCGCCTGATTGTTTTATTTTATTTTACAAAAGCACAACGTTTTCTTGTTATTGAGTGTACACAAATAAAAGTAGTTGCGAATAATGTATTATTATTTTCTGTATGACCAGAAATGATAGAGTAGGCTAGCCTATTTTAAGTTGTTTCCACTGTTGATAGGAAAATGCAAGTGTTCGCGCCCGCGCCCCGCGCCTCCGTGCCATCCAGTGCGCGCTCCACATTCCGCACACACACTTGGATATGCGTCAAAATCTTGTTTAGCCTATTTGTGATCATCTTAGCCCTGTATTATGAATGATATGTGACGAATTGCTTTGTTCCTTTTTTTTTGATAAGCGTCTTCTACATATGTAGCCTAATAAATGTTATAATAATGATGATAATTATTATTATTATCCCCGCGTCTTCTTTAAGTCAGCTGACTGTAAATGCGCAAAACCTGTTTCCATTGCAGTTTTTTTTTTTACTAAAGCAGTATATAAAATCAGATGTGTATTACCTACCACGATAGCAGTTTCCGATTTATGAGTAAAATTTATTACTGTAAGATATTTTAACATTTTGTTCTACAACAAAAAAATACTCACTTTCATACATTACCTCAATCGTGATTCTTGATTCTTGTTGTTTTTTTAAAAGCTAAAAAGTCGCTAAGCTACAATGGCTACAACAGTTGTCTCAATTCGTTATACACGTCAACTCACATCATTATGGTAGTTGAAGCCCTTAATTGTTCACAATGTTTGAGGTATGACTGTAATTTATGTTATAGAATAAAATGTGACAAACCCACAGACTCTATTTTACTCATAAACTGAAAACCGCTAATTGGTAAAATGCTAATTCTCTTCCAGGTTTTAGGGCCTACAAACAACTCATTTAAGACACATTTAAGTGTTTCAGTCCATTCACAATTCATCATGACATCTCTCCATTTACAGCTTCTCGGTTCATGGCCTACCACACTCCTCTGGCCAACTCGCAGGAGTTCACGGGTGCGCTGCAGAAGGCCAGAGAACTGGCGCGTAATATCACGCTGACCATGAGGCAAATCCCCGGCACCTCTCCTGACTTTGAGGTCTTCCCTTACACGTAGGTGTCGTCTTCTAAACCTCCCTTATCTTACCATCCTCACCCTTGCTGTTTCTTTTACGGGATAAGATAAGAAGCGATAATCAGGAAATGTAATATTATTGAATGATAACGCGTCCTTGAGCTACTTCATAAATTGCAAAACTACATCACGAATCCTTGAGATACTTCATACATTTCTTGCAATTGCAGAATAGAACCCTAAAACATTTGTTTGAGATGTTAACAGATATGTGCAGGTGGCACATCAATGAAAAAGCAATACCACTCATTGTTCATTATTAAGGTAAAAGTGATTTTTTTCTGAGCCATTCCTTCCTGTTTAAAAAGCAAAGTCTTGAAAAGTGAGATATATGCGTAAATTCTGAGCGGTGATTGGTGGCTCACTTGGTGCACTACCTTCATGAAAAAGAAGTGTGCTTCATTATATTGAATATGCACTTGTAGAGTACGTCAGATCTCCAAAGTATATTTTTAATTAACTCTACTTGCTTTTAATATATTGTTAATGAAATAAAAGTCCTCTCAGGTGTACTTTAACGAGATTACACATTCATTGCCTGTTTCTTGACTCAATTAAAAAAGTTAAAAAGTGCACTTTGTAATAATTCCAAATTAAAAGCTTTAAAGTACATTTCAAATCACTGTTTTTGATTTTGTTGTGCTTTAACCCTCATGTGGTGTTCAAAACCCTATAACACCTGTGGTCTTCCCGGGTCAAAATGACTGGCCTATAAAAATAGCTTATAAATCACTCATTATACCATATTTTCACCCAATCTTGGATTCAATCTTTTTGTCAACTTGTTCTCTTTCAATTAGGACTGGTTTTATATTTCTGTTTGCATCTGATTAATCGTGGGCCTCATTTATCTAAGAGTAGGCATCTCATTTTATTTGTAAAAAAAGCATTATTTTTGAATATTTTTGGAAATATTAAATAAAATATTTTAAAAAGTTGGCAGTGTTGATCACACCAGTCTACTTTAATGTTTCACCGGGAAGTTTGTTTTTGAAAACTTTTATTTTGTAAAAAATGGCACATAGTCACACTTGTGGTCTTCCCGGGTCAAAATGACCGGCCTATAAAAAATAGCTTATAAATCACTCATTATACCATATTTTCACCCAATCTTGGATTCAATCTTTTTGTCAACTTGTTCTCTTTCAATTAGGACTGGTTTTGTATTTAATTTTCAAACGGTTTAATTGTAGGAGTCATTTATCCGAGCTTATGCACTTCAGTTTTTGAGTGAAAAAAGCATTATTTGTTAATAATTTTGGCAATATTGAGTAAAATATGACAAAAAATTTCACTGTTGATCACACTTGTCTACTTTAATATTTAATGACACCGTTTATTTTGAAATGTGTGGGGGTTTTTGCACAAAATGACACAGAGTCACACTTGTGGTGTTCCCGGTCATTGAAAGTGAATGGGGGAGACTAAAAATTTGAGAAAAATGTAGTTGTCAGGAGCATGTTCATGTTCATGTTCACATATGTACATGTGTGCTTAGAGCCCTTGGACATGTGCATGCGTGGATACATGCACACACACACACACACACACACACACACACACACACACACACACACACACACACACACACACACACACACACACACACACACACACACACACACACAAACTATTTTCTGAATGACACATTCTTTTTCACAGTGATGAAATTGATCCTACCCTGAACTACATCTAATATCTAATATCTGACATTATCACACACACACACACACACACTTAAAGTAGACTAGTGTGATCAACAGTACCAATTTTCTAAAAAAAATAATAATAAAAAAAATCCAAAATTATTCAAAAATAAAGTTTTTTTTACTCAAAAAATGAGATGCCTACTCTTAGATAAATGAGGCCCACGATTAATCAGATGCAAATGAAAATACAAAACCAGTCCTAATTGAACGAGAACAAGTTGACAAAAAGATTGAATCCAAGATTTGGTGACAAAGTCACTAAGTTTCAGTCCAATGCAATAACATTAACTAGTATTTTTGATAAAAAGAAAATCTTCTCCGGGTCAAAATGACCCGAAGACCACATGAGGGAAGTACACTTATTTTGATATGTTTACAAACCTATGTTAAAGCACATGCAAAGTACTTGACATTAAAATATATTTTAGTTAGCATAAATGCTTGTCAGTACATTCGGCAGTACACTTTAACCACATTTCAGAGACAATATAAGTAATTATGAAATTAAATATGAAGATGTTCTTAAGACCTATTTAAAGATGTCCAAAAGCATTCTTAAGTTCTACTAATTGCATTTAATATACATTTAAACTATGTTGCCATTAAGAAAATGACATGCAGTTAAGTGTCCAAAAACACTACATTTAGTTCGCACTTATTATTAATTTTAAAGTATATTATAACCATAATAACAGCTCTTTTTAAAAGTATGCTAAAGTGTACTTCTTTTTCACAAGGGTGTCCAAGATAAAAAACTTGTTATTAATTTGTTAAAAAAAAATCTTAACAACTTAAAAGTTCTTTATACAAGTAAATGCAGAAGAAGAAGCAGGTTCAAAAATCTCTGTGCCCTGACTGTGATCTTTCATTTCGCAGAGTGACGTACGTGTATTACGAACAGTACCTGACCATCGTGAATGAGGGTCTGTTCAACATTGCCATGTGTCTTCTCCCCACATTCTTTGTGTGTTGTATCCTGCTCGGCATGGACTTGAGATCAGGCTTTCTGAACCTGCTCACCATAGTGATGATCACTGTGGATACGGTTGGCGTCATGACGTTGTGGGGTATCGATTTCAACGCTGTGTCGCTTATTAACCTTGTGACTGTGAGTGTGTCAAAGAAACGCATTAGCAAGTTTGCATTTCATAAAACCAATGACAGTGTCATTAGCGATCCCCGACATTATTAACAGATGCTTTGTTTTGCAGGCTGTTGGTATATCGGTGGAGTTTGTATCTCATATAACACGCTCATTTGCTCTCAGCATTGGCCACACAAAGGTGGAAAGAGCCAAAGAAGCCACAGCTAACATGGGCAGTGCTGTGAGTACCAGAACAACAAAGATGCTAGACTTGATGAGTTTTTAAGACATGCTCAGCTATGCTATTCCAGTCTAGTTGTGGTGCCATTACATATGTCTATGTTCTCTTTTGCAGGTGTTTGCTGGAGTTGCAATGACCAACCTACCTGGAATCGTTGTTTTGGCATTTGCTAAAGCCCAGCTCATCCGGATCTTCTTCTTCAGACTCAATTTGGTCATCACTCTACTCGGCATGGCCCACGGCCTCATATTCCTGCCTGTGCTGCTCAGTTTCCTCGGTATGTTGCAAACATGACTGCAAGCACATAACTACATATTCAGTCTTCATGTCATTGGTGCTTAATCAAGTTCAAAGAAACTAGTTCTAATTCTAAACAAAGGCTATGTTCAGATTCACCTGGCCTCAAGAGGTCAGGTAGCTACTGATGCTGGAGACTAGGGTCTTTAGCATCATTGTTAATGCGTCTGCCTCCCATGCCGGAGATGGTAGTTTGAATCAATCTCGAGTAGGGTCAAGCGGCAACCTTCCGATCTCTCTCTAGAATCCAACACGGAAGTGACTTAAACTGGAATTCGTCGACTGGCCGCTAGAGACAGGCTGCAAAAGAGAGTCAATCCCATATACCCCCATGTTAAAATGCCCAAATTTACAGCAGAAAAAAAGGTAACACTTTATTTTAAGGTGCTTGTAATAAGCAGTAATTAACAGTTAATAAGACACTTATAATGGTGCGTTCACACCGGACGCGAATAGCGCGTCAGGCGCGAGTGATTTCAATGTTAAGTCAATGCAAAGACGCGTTACGCGCGGAAAAATTCCTGCGGCGCGAATGAGGCGTAGAGCGCGGCGCGGTAGACGCGAATACGCCTTATTCGCGCGTCAAGTTCGCGCGAATGCCGCGAATTGAGCGTCTGGCGCGTTACGCGCAAATGTTTTATGTAGTGCTTTTTGTGCATTCTCGCGTTTGACGCGAATTCGCGTCTGCCGCCCGAGTTGAAAAATCTGAACTTCTGCGTCAATTCGCGCCGCGTTAACCAATCAGGAGCCTGCTTGCTGCTGTCACGTGGTGAAGTGACAGTTTATAATGTTATTTTATGTTTGGCCTCAATAAATTATTTTGTAATATGACAAAAATGCTTGGTGTGCAATACAAATCTTTCACATAAAAACTCGATTTCAATATATGAGAGATACTCATTTTGTATTGAATGCTATTTATTCCATATCTATTCTAGATTATATAAAACATTATTATTCTAATGTAAAGACAACAAACACAATTTAGTATATAAAAACTTTAAAAAAAATCACAGGACAGGTTTCACTTTTGGAGGCTCCATTTATTATCAAAACAAAAATAAATGACAGATTAGGTGGATGCGGGCGAGGGTGAACCTCGTGCCGGGCTGTAGAGCGCGGGCTCGACAGGCATAGACCACTCGAGGCCGAGGCCTTATACGGCCTACGCTGTCCTCGTCAGCGTCCTCACCGTTAGGTCCACCAAACCTAGCTCCTGGAGCAAATTGTGAAACTCCTGAAACCCTCCGGAGGGTCTGGTGGACCCGAGTACAGCGACGATGTCCCCTACACAGCTGTTTCTGCTCTCCAGAGCATATACGAGCGGTGACTCTCTCGAATAATGCTAATGCTAATGCTCGATAAACATCTAAAAAGATGGCCGCCAACGAGTTTCGAAACTTTCGCCTCCGGATTTCGCCTCTGACGCGCGTAAATTTCGCTTCAAACTTTTGTTTTTACGCGCGTCAATTTCGCCATTGACACGCGAATTAACACAAAGTGGTCAAGCGTCAAACTAGACGCGGTAGACGCTAATTTGACACGCTATTCACGTCCGGTGTGAACGCACAGTAAGACCTTATAAGATGCATATAAGATGCATATAAGCATTAACTACTTCATATAAGGGTTAATTAAAGGTCCAGGCCCTGAAGAGATCAGGGAAACTACTCCCTCTTGGGAAGGTCAATTTTTAAGGGACTGGGAGTTTGTGTTACCATTTATGTTTGTTCGGCTGTTCTAAAAGTGCAATGTATTGATACTTGAGAAATTTTTTATTTAATTTATTTATTATCATTAGTTAATGCTTATATGCATCTTATATGCATCTTATAAGGTCTTATAAGTGTCTTATTAACTGTTAATTACTGCTTATTACAAGCACCTTAAAATAACGTTACCGAAAAAAAAATTTGCCCTTCATGACAACTAGTCACTACTAGCCATTTGTCTGCTGTCTGTTAGTCGTCACGTCACCTCAGCTAATCCCGCCTTTTTGCCCATTTTCTGTTGAAGCGCGCTGCCAAGTTGGCGACGGCCGTCTCCGCCCACTTTGGGCTTCAAAAAAGTTCTTCAGAAACCTACGGGTGACGTCACGGACACTATGTCCATATTTTTTTACAGTCTATGAGTAGGACGGGTTCCATTCGGTGCCGTGACCCGGATGTAAACCTCACCCACCTGGTCTCAAGAGGTGAGCTAGAGCAGGCTTTAGCGTCCTTGTCAGCACGCCTGCCTCCCATGCTGGAGACGCTGGTTCAAATCCCGCTCAGAGCAGATCGAGTAGGAACAGTTACATACAGTTTATACTCAAAAGGGTTAGATTTGTTATGTTTTTTAATGGGTTTTAAAGAGGTCTGTTATTCAAGTTGTTATTCAAACTGTATTCAAGAAAGTATGGCATTTTTAAAATATTTGTAAATACTTGCAGCTGAGCTACAGTACATACAAATAAAACAGTTTTATGAAATCTAAATAGTGCAAATAAACTATCTAAGAAAAGAGAAAATACATAGTGTAACTGATGAAGAAATATAAAAGGGATAATGTTAAAAAATAAAAATGATACAGTCTAAACTATATGCAGTACACTAGTATTCAATTCCAAATACCTGAACAAACCAAACAATTTTGTGTGTGCTTCTTTGTATATATTGTGTTAGAATTTGGGAAAAGAGAACATAATTGTATATAAATACATTTATAATATATATATATATAATATGTGTGTTAGAACAGGTTTGGATTAAACAAAATGGAACTGTTTTATTAAAATTTACTGTCTGTGTTGCTCAGGTCCTGGTGTGAACAACGCAGTTCTGCTGCAGATTCAAGAGAAAAAAGCCAAGGAGATGGAGCTCAACAGCAAAGCCACATATGACAATGTTAGCTTCGAAAACCATGAGAAGTCGAACGGCGAAATCCCCGTAGAGCCTTCGTGTCCAGTAATGACCGACATTATCTTCAACACCACCCAAAAACCCCCCCAATGGGATATTGCCATATTGTAGCCTAAGACCTCTTACAAACTGCTCTTCCTCTTTCTTCCAGTTCATTTACCTATTACACTGAATTGGCAGTCATGAAAGGAAGACATAAGTTTGCCATTACATACACTACTGCATGTAAGCATTTGAGGGAAAAACAACCAACCACATTGAAACTTTCCAAGCAGAATCACCTCATGCTACAGTATGTCAGCTCTATACCTCCTTATGTGGGCTTCTCGATAGCATTGCGTGACTGCTATCAACCTGTCCGTCTCCTTCTGAAGATGTTCATGAGCGAGATCGACATCGCCTTGCCCAGGTCACGCCTGAGACAAAGTGATATGGATACAAATGAGGAGCTCAATTTCACTGTTTTAGAAATAAGGAAATTACTACAATAGATAAGAATTATTTTAGTTTTTTATCATGTAATATTTGTTGAATGTTATATTTAATTGTTGTTGTTGTTTAGGTTTTATATTGTCATTTTTGCATGATAGTAATTGTCTTGTTCATGATAGAAACACAACTCTGAAAGGAGGAAAATGTAGCTCAAATAACACTCCAGTTTAAAGAGTGTCCGCTCTTGTATTATAAGCATTACTGTAGTAATATTAAATGCACTGTGTGTATTTCTACATTCTGCAAAAATTCATTGAATGTTCAATAGATTTCAACTTTGCATTCAAAGTTTACACTTACTGTTAAAGTAACTATAAAGCACTTTTATGACAGTTTATTGACTGTATGATTGCAGGCAAATCCATTTCAGAGGCAATTAAGGAAACAATTTTTTCAATTCAAAAGGATATTTATTACAGAGTAAATATTTAAAAACATGATTGTAATACTTTCAAACACTGTCGAATGACACATTAAATGAAAATAGTTGTATTTCGGTTGCAGGAAATGATATGAATTAAATAATAAACTATACTGTAATGTTGCCTTTTCTCACATGAATACTATCTAGCAAGTATTAAAATGTTTAAGCCTGTTATTAAATAAAGCAATAATCCCCATGAAGCAGTGGTTTACAGTGAATTAAGAACATTTTAAGGCCCGACACAGAGTGGTTAGTCCATAAAAATATTTATGTATGTTTGGTGTAGAGTACTACACTACAGAGTCTTATACTGCATGACACATTCATCCAAAATAAAAGGAAATCCAACCTTCACAATGAAAACCATTGGAATTAAAACAAAAAATAAAATATGTAACAGTACGGCAATTGTGCAAACAAAGCCCCTGCGATAAAAAAAAGTGCAATCTGCAACTCTCTTTTCTTATGTTAAACTCGCACGTACCCAAAGACTTTTAACCCAGAAATGTGCTGTGCTGGCCAATACTGCTGCATAAGGGAAATCTCTCTTACTCAGACACACACACACACACACACACGCACTCATTCACTGGTGCAGAGTTCACTGTGGTCAAAGGGGAAGTTTGAAGGAAAACAAGGGCCTGGTCTCTTAACATTGATTATATCTTCGATGGATTAATTAGCATAGCGCTATCAGCAGTAAAATAAACGTCCCAAAACAAATACGTCTATAAAGATAAACCTACATCCCGTATATGTACGGTGATTTCCTTGTTTCATCAAGTGAAAAAACACAGAGTCCTCTGCCATCTGGTGGACATTTGTTGTGTTGTGCTACACCTACATTATAAACTCTGGAAATATCTTATACTCAAGTACACTATTCATACGTAGCTCAAGAGCACATATGGGCTTGTTATTTTCTATATACATACACAAAATTATTCAGTTTAATGACTAAGTTCCACATTATCAAGACAATTTTCAAAAATGTAACTCCCCCTGTCCAATTGGATAACGTCTGGTGATCAGCCAAGCAGACCGATTAAGAACCTGATGGGTGACTTATGAAAGACTGGAGATATATATCTGTTGAGGACCATGTAGAACTGCAAAACAGAAGCGCCTCAAAATGTTCCCTCAAATAGTGTGCGTTAAGACCTAAACACAGTTCATGAGGATGCTGATACAGAGCAGGAGAAGATCTGACCTAAGATCAGTAACTCAGAATCTCTGGTAGACTGGCGGATGTCCTGTCCAGGGGTCAACACATAAGAGACCGCTGTTCACGAGCCTTCAAACTTGTTCTTTTTTTCCTCCTAACAGAGACACTGAAACAAAACAAAAATTCGTTATTAAAATACTATGGTTTATTTATTTTTACAGTGGATCCGAAATTGCTGCTGCTCTACTTTTCTAAAGTTAATGCTAATTTTTTTTAATGAGAACAACAGTTTTTGAATGAATATGCCACATTCATTTAAAGTTATAATGTTGATTTGTTTTACTTTTGAACCCCACAAACTGCAACACAACAAAAACAAAACAAAAAATTGCAGAACAAAATTCAACAAAAACACAGCATTACACTCACACCATAGTGAAAAGTTTGTGTGGTTCAAACCTTTTCGGTTGGGGTACTTTTGGCAAAAAAAATTGCCCAAAAAAAAAACAAAAAAAAAAACTAAACAAAACAAACAAAAAACAAAGTATAATTCTAAACAAAATGCAACAAAAACATCAAAACAGCATTGCACTTGCACCTTGTGAAGGATTTGTTTGGTTTATACCTTTTCGGTTGAGGTAATTTTGGACACCACAATATGCAAAAAAAAAAAAAAAAAAAAAAAAAAGTTAAATCCTAAACAAAATGCAACAAAGCAAATCAAAACAAAAACAGCAAAATTCTAAACAAAATGCAACAAAACACAGCATTGCACTTGCACCTTGTAAAGATTTTGTTTGGTCCATACCTTTTCGGGTGCAAAAAAAAAAAAGAGGCAAGCAATATGCAAAACAAAAAGTAAAATGCTAAACAAAATGCAACAAAACACAACAAAACAAAAAAAGTAGCATTGCACCTGCACCTTTTGAAAGGTTTGTTTGGTTTATTACTTTTCGGTTGGGGTACTTTTGGACCCCACAATAAGCAGAACAAAACAAATAAGTAAAATGCTAAACAAATTACAACAAATCAAAACAAAAAAAGTAAAAAGCTAAACAAAACGCTACAAAACACAGGATTGCGCTTGCACCTTGTGAAAGGTGTGTTTGGTTCATACCTTTTCGGTTGCAAAACAATATGCAAAACAAAACAAAAAAGTCAAATGCTAAACAAACTGCAAAAAAAAAAAAAACACAGCATTGCACTTGCACCTTGTGAAAGGTTTGTCTGGTTCATACCTTTTCGGTCGCGTAACCATGCATTTCCAAAGAACAGCATAGAGGGCTAACAGAAGGCCTATGAACACTGCCGCAGCGATCGCACCTGCAAACACACCAGACACCTGTTAAACCGCTGTCTGTAGTCTTGAAAACACTTGTCTGAAGAGGCACATAATCTGGATCATGAGAGAACTCGGATATAGAGTGTGACCGAATGAGAGGCCGCAGTTTCATTGTCCGCAATCCAAAGTCACTGGTCTTTCTAGTGAAAAATGCAACTTGGATACATATCTTAGGCCTGTAAAAGGTCAAAGGTCTCACTAAGTGAGAAAGAACAGTCAGTTTTAATTAGTGTGTTTTATTCAAGAATCAAGACATAGAAAGGCATAAACCCTGTGTGTTTAAAGAGATACTCTAATGAGGAAGCATTGAGGAGGAGGAAAATTCCAGTGATGACATGGAAACCTGTTTAAACCTGTGAGCGGGTAAAAGGAAAATCAGCCCTGAGCAATGATTTAACACTCCATATTCCATAAATTTGAAAAGTTTGTATTGGACACAAAACAAAATCACATTAGTGCTGAGACAAGTTCTAGCAACAATTCTTTCCAAGTGAGTTACATGGTTTTAATCTCTTTTGTGTAATGGAATCATGAAATATTGAAATGTTTAAGTCTGATAAAGGAGTCCAAATACTTCTGGGGCCAACTTATTTGTAGTCAATGAATTATATTTTCATAGACATTTTGCAAACAAATTAGGTTATGTCCTCATTTCAAATGATCAGCTCAGCCTCTGAAATTCTGCCCTTGTCCCGAAGTTCCAAGTGTTTAATAACGATTCGACACACACACACACACACACACACACACACACACACACACACACACACACACACACACACACACACACACACACACACACACACACACACACACACACACACACACACACACACACACACACACACACACACACACACACACACACACACACACACACACACACACACACACACACACACACACACACACACACACACACACACACCTCTAGAAATGTTGTGTATACATGTGGTTTTTTGAGAACTCATTGAGTTTGATATTTCTACAAAAATACTGTAACCCCTTGTTGTATTTCAGGCAAAAGTTCATTTTCTGAACATGAAGAGAAAAACAAAAAAATGTGATCCATAGGAAAGAGCAATTAGAAAGGAGAGCGCTCAGATAAATCATGTTCCCTAAGGTTTTATTTTGCCAGGACTTGTATGTTTTAAAACATTTAAAAAAAAGACTTGGTCAGACTGATTAATGTCTGCTTGATAAGAAAGACATGACAACATTTATAACTGTACTTCTTTTGTAAACAAATAGATAATGAACAAGGTAGGACTGAGGACAATTGGCCGAGAGTGAGAGTGAGGAAGACGACAGCAATAAAAGAGGAAGGGCAGGTCAGATCACTGACAGGTAAGGACATCTCAGAGAATCAACTTCAAATGTATGAGCAGAAAATCAATCTAATATGCTGATCTGCTGCTCAAGGAACATTTCTTATGATTACCAACATTGAAATTCCAGGATACTTTAAAATATTGAAAAAAAAAAACCAGCATTAATTTAAAATGGATTTTTTTGTAACATTATATGTGATCACTTTTATCCATCCTTGCTGAATAAAAGTATTAATAAATAACTGACTGAATGGTAGTGTAGCTGAAAAGGTGGTCACTTTTGCACTCTATTGTGACCTCGGGGAATCAGAGAGTGAAACTCTACCTGGTATGATTCCACTCGGTCTGTTCACGGGGGTCTCAGCGAGAGGGGGTGGACTGGCAGTTACTGAGCCTGTGGAGACAATGAAGATTATGTTAAAGCATGTACACCATCATTAGCATGATGTATTTAAGGCTGTTTAAGGCATTACCATTTCTATCAGAGTTGAAGGGGAGCCATGAAGACACTTGGGAAACTATCTGGGGAGAGAAAACAACAGGTTATTCAGTGAGAAAAGAATGGGTGGGGCTTGATTTTACCTTTCAAGAATTGACTGAATTGGGAAAAGTGGGTGTTAAATACTATAATAGAGGGGTTGAGGGAGGGGTTAAATAAATAAGCATAAGGTGACATTACATTACATTGATATAATGTCCTGTATGCTGTAACTGCACGACAGCTACATATCATTTTCGATATTACCTTCTCACAAGTAGCATATATTTCTCTGCCATGATTGATTTATTCTGTATAAGAACATGTCTGGTTATGGAGATAAAGCAGGTAGTATTTGGCTAGTCATGTGATTCCAAAATGGCAGCTCCCGTGAGGGGGGACCTGCCCCATCATGTAGAATAAAACAGAATTGTCTAGGCCGCTGATATAGCTGAAGTAGTCATCATCAAATACAAGGGTACATCATTTTACACATTTGTCAAAGTATCAACAGAGCCTGTCTATCCAAGCACTGATATGTGCTCAAAGTCAGCATGAAACAAAATTACGATGGTCATTTCTTCCTTATTGCAACGTATCCAAGTGAAGCTTTTCGAACAAGAAAAAACATTGTAGGGCCTTGCGCTGAAAAAAAGTGTCATCAGAGAAGATATGCCATTCCAGTAGGGAGGGGAAGTTATTTTGAGTAAAGATTACATGAGTAAGTGAATTTGGAAAGATTTTTTTTTTTTTTTACAATAAATACTGCAACATTCAATAAAAAAAATAAAAAGAGAATAGTCCATTTTGATTTCATGGTGGCTTTAAAGGACAAAGAGAGAGGGAGGGGGCATGTCCCTGCACTGTTTAACAAAGATAAGAAACTATGCCATGACTGAAAGTTTCCAAAACATGCTGGAAGACAGGAAATGAGAGAGAGGGAGAGAGAGAGAGAGAGAGAGGAGAGAGAGAGAGAGAGAGAGAGGAGAGAGAGAGAGAGAGAGAGAGAGAGAGAGAGAGAGAGAGAGAGAGAGAGAGAGAGAGAGAGAGAGAGAGAGAGAGAGAGAGAGAGAGAGAGAGAGAGAGAGAGAGAGAGAGAGAGAGAGAGAGAGAGAGAGAGAGAGAGAGAGAGTTTACTGTTTCCCAAGAAGTAGTTTTGCTTCTCAAAACAACAGTTGATCTGTGCTGAAAATGTAACTTTATGTCAATGAATATACTAACAAAAAATAAATGGTATTCTGATACACTGACCTATTTTGTATATTTGCAATGAAACAGTACTACTTTCCTCATCTTAAAAAGATACTGTCTTTAAAAAGCCTTTCAACAGGTGGAGCATTTAAAACACATACTGCAGAACATTGCATTGCATTGTTTCTCATGAGTTTGATTTACCTGTTTGAGACTGTGGTCCTGTGGTTCTTCGTGAGTGTTGTTGTTGTTTCTCACCTCCGTCCACATGTTTCAGCGTGTTTGTGAGTGTCTTCCCTTAATCATAACGAGGCGCCCAGTGTGAAGAGAGCGAATGAGACTCAAACAAAACAATGTCAAATCGCTCCTAGTTTGCTCTTAAAGTGGCCGGGGTACATAAATCTAGTGGGCGGGGCAACAATCCGCCTCTACAGTTAAAGGTAGGCTATCTCTTCACCTCTTCACTAAGTAAAAATACTTCACTACTGTCCACCTCTGGAAAAATTACATGAGGGTGAGTAGCCTACATAATGGAAGACTTTTTATTTTGGGGTGGAATGTTTCAAAAAGCACATTAACCCCTTCACACCTGAATTCCACTGAGAAAAAATGATGAACTATGAATTATGAACTAAAGTTTACAGTTTTTTCTGAATGCTTAAACCCTAACCGTGATTCTTAGCACAATTTCTAAAACTATTAATACTTATAGCAAAACCACTCACTGAGTTTGCAAAACTAAAAGCACAAACACTGCTTTGCACTCAGTTTGCAATGTTGTAACACTCACTTTGCAAAACTGTAGGTACAATCCACTGCACAGCACTCTTTTTGTGGAACTGTAAACACAACTCACTGCTTTACACTCAATTTCCAAATGATCAACACACTCCTAGCAAAACTATACACATGTATGGCTGTTACACTATTTTGCCAACTGTCTGGCACACTGTCACATGTGAAAACTGTTTTAGATAATTAGTTCACTTTGCAATCAGCCTAAGCACTATAAATAAGCCACAGGTAAGCTGTCCGTGTGGAGTACAATGGAGGGAGCAGGAAGAGTGAGAAGAGTGAGAATTAGAGGAGGGCTGGCCGAGGAAGAGGACGTGGAGGTGAAGAAGTATGAGGAGTAGGGAGAGGACGCAGAGGTGAAGAAGTATGAGGAAAAGGAGGAGGAAGAGGAGGAGGACGCAGAGGTGAAGAAGTAGGAGGAAAAGGAGGAGAAAGAGGAGGAGGACTCGGAGGTGAAGAAGCAGGAGGAAAAGGAATAGGACGAGGAGGTGAAGAAGCGAGGGGGAGAGGACGACAAGGACAAGGAGGTGAAGTTAGAGGAAGAGGACAAGGAGGAGCAAGAGGTGGGGGAAGAGGAAGGGTAAGAAGAGTAAGAAATAGAACTACTGATGACATCAGAGCTACAATAGTGGACCCCCTGATATGATTGTAAAGCGCTTTGGGTGTACAGTAGTACATATGAAAGCGCTATATAAATGCCTCATTCATTCATTCATACAATAGTGGACCATGTAATCAACCATGGAATGACCCTGAGGGAAGCTGGCCAACGGGTTCAGCCTAACTTGAGCCGCTACACTGTAGCAAGCATCATAAGGACATTTCGAAATGAGAATCGGTTAGTACAGTCACTTTTCACTAAGTTTTGTAGCACTGCCATTCTCTAATGAGAAACACAACAATACCATACATGTAAAGATACTGAAATTGCTACATTGCAAGATGTCCAGATGCTGGGGGCAGAGGAAGAATGTTCACTGCAGAACAAGAGACCCATATAGTCAATATGGTGATTGCAAATAATTCCATAAGGCTACGAGAAATACAGCAGCGCATAAATGAGGATGACACCACCTTCCAAAACATACACAATGTGAGTATTTCTGTATTATGTCGTGTACTTGCCCGCAACAGAATCCGAATGAAACAAGTCCCTTTTGAAAGAAACGATGAACGTGTAAAAAAAACTGCGATATGACTATGTGTGCAGGTAAGCTATAGTATCATTGGTATCTGAATCTGGAAGTGCATACTGTAGTGCTGTGCATGGGCCTGCTGTGCGGCATTTGTTTTGCTTTTTCCAGAGAGTGATGGAGATAGAGGCAGATGCCATGGGTCATGAGCGGATGAGGCAGGTTTTAACCTCACTAAAACAAGGAGACGTGGCAGAAACATTATTGGACACCGTGCCATAATCAATGTCCCAGGACAACGTGGTGGTAACATACTGTAACTATGTGTGGTGTTATTCACCATCATGCAACCCTAGGCCCATATAACACTGCACACATTATTACATTCATGGACACCTTACATGACATGCTCACTAATGTTTAGAGACCAGAGCAGACCAGATATGTCATCATATGGGACAATGTTAGTTTCCATAGGGTTGCTTTGGTCCGCAACTGCTTTACAGATCACCCACTCTACTCAATCGATTCACTGTACTCAACCTCCCCCCATACTCTCCATTCTTGAATGCAATTGAAGAGTTCTTCTCTGCCTGGTGCTGGAAGGTCTATGACCGTCATCCCCATCAACGCATAGCCCTTTTACAGGCAATGGAGGAGGCATGTGGGGATATTGACCATGCATCATGTCAGGCCTGGATACGGCATTCCAGAAGATATTTTCCCTGGTCCCTTGAACTAGAGGACATTGCATGTGATGTAGACGACATTTTGTGACCGGACCCAGAGAGACGACACGATGTAGACTGATTTTTATTTTTTCAGTGAAATTACTATTTTGTGTTTTGACTTGGAAAAAAACACTTGGGTTTGTTTTGATGTGCATGTGTAAATAAACAGTTTGGATCCCTGTATGTTTACAGAACTATGACAAAAGTATGACCTCAAACTGACATAGCCTAACTTTTGCACAGAGAAAGCAAAAGCCAGATGTGTTTTTTATTCATACCATCAGTGTGTAGTTGGCGCATTGTGTGCTTATTAATGTGATGGCTTGTGTTAACTGTTTGATACGAAAATACCATTTTTACGAAGGTTTGAAGAGTTTATTAGCTTTTGCAAGAGAACTACAATGTTTTGCTTATTTGGTGAAGTATTTTCTTATCTGTGTGTAGAGTTTCGCAAAAATAGCCAAGGGTTACAAAAAATGTGCTTAAGCCATCAGAAAAAAACTGTAAACACAGCATGTGAACTAGCACTGAATATTTTGAAAATAACACACACTGTAATGAGCAATGCAATAAGATTTGTATAAAAAAGGGAAGATGATAGGATGACGTCCAAAAAACTTGTTTGATTCTTTTTGTTGTTTGCAGTGGTTGAATTAGAGTATGTATATGTCTCTGTGTTTGTGGGTGTGTTTGTTGCTGGTTTTGATAAATATATGATTGTGTGCATATAGCATCAAGGCATCAGTATGTGTGTGTGTGTGTGTGTGTGCGTGTGTGTGTGTTTTTTTTTTGCTGTGTATTCACTCATTTCAAATTCGCTGTTTCTGTTTAACTAAAACTAATGAAATACCCAATGACAGTTTATGATCATTGAAGGCATACAATCAGAATAAAATATTAATTTAATTAAAACCTAATGTCTATTATTGCAATGGACATCACACTTTTAATAAATCCTGTGTTCTACAGCTCTAAAAGATCTTCAAATTAACTTTGAATATTATCACTTGATACAATTAAGACTATAATAGGTGTAATTTGATGATGCTACCATGAACATAAATCTGCAAAAGGTAAAAAAAAGAGCTCCTCCTCCTCCTGTCTAGTTGGTTAGCCACATGTCTTTTGTGATGCCTCAAAGCTCAATCAGATTAAGTTATGGGTCATACGTTCATTGTGATTGGTTGATCAGGGGCTAATCAGTGACCAGTGACTCATATTATAAAAATATAAAATCAAAATCCATGTGATGTCCATTCCAATGGTCGCAGAGTCTGAAGGGTTTAAATACTCTGTGATACAATTATGGTTTATATTGTGTTACACTGCCATCTAGTTCCAGGAACCCTCTGTTGCATATTGTATAATACTGTTGCACCTAAAGTTTGCTCTTTTAAAAAAAACGATATTACTAACAATAAATACTACAGTTATTTACAAAATATTGATATATTAAATTAATATTATGAACAGCACCATTTATGTACAGTCATTTTACATTTTATTTTTTTATATAATAATGTTGGAGGGACAATGAAACAATTACTTTAAATGTAACTTACATTTCTGTTTATTATTTTTTTCCCCCCACAATAATTAGTTTGAGATCAAACAATAATGAACCCCTGTAATATGTCAAACTACTGTTGAAGTTTTTCCTAGACAGTGACACTATAACATATTTTTGATTCTGCAATTTGATACAAAAATGATTCACAGAGACATCAAGCTATTGATTATGACACACTGTCTACACCATCATGCAGAGGGTGAATTATTTTTGCAAGTTGCCCATTACATCAATTTTCTTCATAATCACAGTTCTGCTTTTGATGGTCTGACATCAGAGAAAAGCAGAAATGGAAGAGTGAGAAACGGCCCATGGCCACAGGCTTTTACTTTCAGTGACGTAATCATAACAATATTATGTAAAGCCAAAATTACCGGTTCTCCCATGCTGAAGATTGCACTTTGCATTGCTAAATGTAGCAGCCTGCCTGCACTTGTATGTCTTGGGCAACAAGCTTCTTTTTCCATTTCTTAAAGGGGTCATATAAAAAAAGTTGATTGTAGTGAAATGTGTGTTGGCAGTGCCTGTACACAACCATCATGATAAAAATCCATCCAGTGTTGTTTTTTTAATCTCTTTATATATTTTCCCCTGTCTCAAATCGAGCTGTCTGACCGTGTGACGTCACACGGTCGGACGCCCCTCCCACGATTGTTGATTGACAACAGCGTTTCAACACATCCCCGCCATGAGTGAGCTGTCATCATAGTCCGCCATTGTTGATACGCTGGAGCAGAATGGCGTCTAAGCGATTGTGGTGTTCTGTTCTTGGGTGTAATAACGAACACAGTCATTTTGATGTTCCTAAATCGGAACCGCTGAAGACGCAGTGGCTGAATTTTGTTTTCGAAGGGAATATTCCCCACGAGCAACGTCAATGCGTTCATGTTTACGCGAATCATTTCTCGACAGACTGCTTTATAAACGAGGGTCAGTATAAAGCTGGTTTTGCTAAGAAGCTGCTCCTGAAAAAAGAATCGGTACCAACTATTCGTGTTCCTGCTGCTCCTCCAGAAGAAGTGAGTGTAAAGTTTTATTAACCTTTATATTAATCTTTGCAAATCACTTGCACGCTTCACGATGAATGCGGCTAAGGTTTACACTCAGGGTATATTACAGCATGTTTTCTATGTACAATGT